GAGTGGTTTGTTACTTCTTTTTATAGCTCATTTTACTGAGGAAAATGAAGCAAACAAGGTTGAGTGACTTGTCCAGGGTCACAAAACTGAGGTCAGATTTGAATTTAGGAAGAGTCTTCCTGACTCTAGGCCTAAGACTCTATCCATTGAGTCATCAAGCTGCCCTTAATATATATATATATATATATATATATATATATATATGTGTGTGTGTGTGTGTGTGTGTGTGTGTGTGTGTGTATCTATGTGTATGTTTATTTATATGTATATGCATATGCATATGCATGTGTGTATGTACATGCATATGCGTATGTATATCTATGTACACAGATATACACACATATGTATGTGTATATAAATATATAAACACCATACCTGTTATCCTCTATTTTTTAAAAAAGGTAAAGATTAATTTCTTCTGTCCTTATCTAATTGTTCTAATCAAAGGCTTAACTTTTCTTTTTTTCTTGATAATTCTTTTATCAGCTTGTTTCATGTCTTAGACTTTTTTCTTTAGCTTTCAGAATTTAATAAAAGGTGTTTTTATATTAAATAATCTTTATAAGCCTCTCTATTCCTTAAATTAAAATATTGTTTTCCTAAGATAAGGCCTAAATAAGTGGCAATAGTGATTGAATTTCATTGAAACTCCCCATAGAATGAACAGATAGTAGAACATCTTACATTTTTTTTTATTGTTGTTATTTTTGGAGTGTTATCTGACAACCAATATTCTATTAGAATATAAAGTTATTTATTCTCTATTCTTCCTGATTCATTGAGAACTTCAGGTAGATAGCCTGGAAATGCAATGACTCTGGGTCTGATATCTATCATTCATTTATTCAATACTCAGAAATCCTTTAATGGATCTGTTATTAACTTTCTGTCATACTCCTCAGAATAGATATTCCAAATCTCTCTCTTTAAACTCTTATTTTCTCCCAAATTCCTACCTTTATCAGCAGGTAACCTCACACCTTTCTGAGAAGAAGACCATGCATCGTGAGATATACTCCCCCATTCCTACCTCTTCCTTAAATGTCTCTGTTCATACCCATGTTGTCTTCATTGTCTTTGGTCCCAAGGAAGAAGAAAGCCATACTCCTTACCAAGACTAACCCCTCATGTTCCTTTGATTCATGCTCTCCAGTGTACTATGGGACCTCGCTCCATTGATAATTTTCTCACTCATCTCCAATCTGTCCCCACATCTGGTTCTTTTCCATCTTTTACAAATATGCTTAAGTGTCCGCTGTCTTGAGGGAAAAAAAAATTAACTCTCTCACCTTTAACCTTTTGCCTTAAAACTATCCCCTCCCCCTCTGCTCAACTTATTAAAAGAGAATTCAAGATACTAGATACTGTCTTCATTGGGTGAGAATGCTGGATGTGAAATCAAAACCAGCCTTAGACATTTACTAGTTATGTGATGCTGGTAAAGTCACTTAATCTCTGTCTGTTGCAATTTCCTCATCTGTAAAATGGGGAAAATAATAGCACCTATCTCCTAGGATTGTTAGGAGAATCAAATAAGACAATAGCAGCAATAATAACTACTAAAACAGCAGCAGCAGCTAACACTTCTATAGAATTTACTATGTGCTAGGCTATTCTAAGTGCTTGACAATCTCATTTGATCCTTATAACAACCCTGAGAGGTAGCTGCTGTTATTATCTCCATTTTACAGATGAGGAAACTGAGGTAAACAGAGGTTAAGTGACTTGCCCAAGGTCACAAAACTAGTATATGACAACATACATACATACACACACTTATGCGTGTATTGTGTTTGCAAACATCAAAACACTATATAAATGCTAGTTATCATTATTACTACTAATGCTAATTTTATTGTTCTACTACTTACTCACAACATAACAACAACAACAAAACTTAGTCTTCTGTCATATGGCTTTTACACAACTCTAAGCTAAAATTTCTTTCTCCGGTGTCATAAGTAATCTTTTAAACACCAAGTCCAGTATCATTTTTCTCTCTCTTTATTCTGTTTGATCAATGGATTTTTCTTTCTCTTTATTTTCCTTGACCTTTCTGCAGCACTGGAGTCTGTGACCACCCTCTCCTCGTTGTTTTCTCCTCCCTCAGGTCCCATGACCCTATTTGCCTAATTGCCTGACTGCTCCATTTAGTTCTCACCTTTCTGGCTTATATTCATCCAGCTATCCTGGAAGGGTAGCTATTGCCTAAGGCTCAATCCTTAGCCTTCTCTCCTCTTTGCATTTTTTCCTTTGGCAAACCCAGCCACTTCATTGGCTTTAATTATTAAGTCTATGCAGGTGTCTGTCAAGTTTTTATATTCAGTTCGAGTCTTCCCCTTAATCTCCATCCATGCATCTGTAGATGTGTCCTGGACATCTCAAAGTAGATGTCCCATTGGGAACTCGAATTCAACATGTCCCACACTGAAGTCGTTATCTTCCTGTGCCGGCCGCGCCGTGCACTCTCCTCCTATAAGGAGCAGGCTGCCAGAGTCATACTTACCAGTCTTCGGAGCCTACCCGGATAAACACACAGAGACGAGCCTACCAGGAGGTGCCAACACCCGAGCTTTATTCAGAGGCCATCACAGCAAGGCCAAGCAGGAAGGCCATAGCAAGAGAGCAGGAGCAAAGAGAGAGCGAGCTCCCGGACGACCGTTCCTTAAGTACCTACTTAGCCCTTCCTCCTCAGCCCGCCTACTAGTCATTGATTGTAGGGTCAGATACCGGAAGGGGATGTATGAGTTTAGCGCACCAAGGGAGAGGAAGTGACACAGGGGGCTAGGACCGGATACAGGAAGGAGGCGTCTGGGATTAGTGCATAGACAAAGGGAGAGTATGTGACCCAGGAAGTCAGGCCCAGATACCGGGAGGAGGCGTCTGGGGTCAGTGCTACACAAAGGGAAAGTATGTGACCCAGGAAGTCAGGAAGGACACAGGAAGGAGGCGTCTGGGGTTGACATTGCACTTAGGGAGGGGACTAAGCCAAGGGAACTCGTCCTCTGCCATCCCACTCCCACGTGGCACAGCCCCCTGCCTCAGGAGCACGTGCTCCGGCTACTTCCTTGTATTCTGTTCCTTCCCCACCTTATCACAGCTCCACATAGCACTGCCCACTGCCTCAGGAGCGTGAGCTCCGGTTACTTCTCCGTATCCAGCCCATCCCAGTTCACCACAGCTCCGCCTAGCACAGCCCCTGCCTTGGGAGCGTGAGCTCCAGTTACTTCCTAATATCTTGTTCCTACCCCATCTTGCCACAATCTTCACTTGGCAGTAGCCAACATCAGATAGTCCCTCACATCTTCCCTTCTAATTCTCCCTCATCTTACCTTATTTCTGTTGATGGCACTACCATCCTCCTTGTCACCCAACATTGAAAGCTTTGATGCCTCTTTGACTCTTATCCCTTTATACCCCCAACATTAAGGTAGTTGCAAAGTTTCTCTCAAATCTACTGTAACATTTCTCAAATTTCTCTTCTCCTCTTTCAAAATATTTTATTGAGGCTTAAAAGACACACACACACACACACACACACACACACACACACACCATTGACACTTTCCAATAAGTACCTTCTTGATACCTGCCAAGTTTCTTTGAAACAATGAGGTCTATCTTTGCTTCTTTCATATATGTTGCCATTAGCCTAGTCTAGAAGCATAATTAGGACTAAGAAAACTGTTTTGGAGTTAAGAAGAACCTAATATATATTTCAACTCCCACATTTTGTACTTGTATGGCTCCTTAGGCAAACCATTTTCTGAGCCTCAGCTTTCCAATATATAAAATGGTTTTCATTAACCTTGTACTACCTAACTCATAGGATTGTTGTAAGGAGAATACTTCACAAATCTTAAAGTGCTATATAAATACAAGTGAATTGTTGTTTGTTATTGTTGTTGCTGCTGCTGTTGTTATTATATACATACATTTGATTGGTTCAATGCATAACAGGGCAATTCTTGAAAAGCAGGAAAACATAGTGAATGGAGAGCTACTAATCTCACAATCAGCAAGACTGGTTCAGGTAGATCCTCTTGCATATAGTGACTGTGTGACCCTGGGTAAATCACTTAACTTCTCAGTGCCCTAGGCAACTCTTCTATGCTGTAGGTTAAATGGTACATAATGATCTATATTGGTAACATGAATTTCCACACCAGGAGTTGCCTACACCAAATTAATCATGAATCTGGTCTGAAAAATAAATCTTAAAAATTTACTGAATTTAGTATACCCAGATTCTTGTCTTACTTTAACATTTCTTGATGCTTATCAATATGACTGTTCCATTTATTGGAGTAGATTACAACCCATCTGTGTTTCCTCATCTGTACAATTCTTGCCCATGTTCTTTCATGAATTTTCTTCAAAGAATATACCCAAAATATTAAAGATCTTTTTACATTTTGAGAGTACAAATGGAGACCTCAGGTTGTCTCAGAGTTATGTTATCTCTCACTTGTACCACATAAACTTTTTGATCAGATATTTTCTCAATGATATCCCTTACGTCATTTTTTGAATTTTTAACATCATTGGAAATATGCCACAGCTTAACTGAAACTACTCTGACTTTCTCCTTTGCCCTTAGGGTACCCACAATTTAAAATCTTCAGGTATTTAATTTTCCAAGATTTCCTAGTTATCCGGGCAGAAAGAATGATATTTTGCATCAGGAAGAGCTTTAGTCTATATGGTAGACAAAAGTTCCCATAACTAATTTTAACTTTTCATTTTTAAACCCATTGTTAAAATACATCAAAATTCTCATGATGTTCATAGATGTATCATCTATGAAACTATCTTACATATCTTACTATCTTACATATCTTACTATGAAACATATCTTAAGAATGATTTTCCATTTAGTTGAGAAATAATTCCTGCTAGAAAATTTATTGGATTTCTGAAATAACATTCTGGAATATTTCTATCATAAATGTTGGGTTTTTTCTGCATTAGAAATATTAACACTTTTTTCTCTCTTTTAGTGTTGTAAAGAAAAGAATACCAGGAGTTGAAGAGATTAAAACAGGAGAGTTAACAGGTCAGATTATTTGCTTAATTATTTATGGATCAATTAATTTTATATCATTTAAGCAGTTTGTCATGGATTCTCTAGCATGATCTTGTCCTTATTTATTTATGTCTTCCATTTGGTCATTGAAATCTTTATGCATGTAGTATATAGTATCTTATTTCATGTTATGGGATTTAAAGGCATAACCTTTTTTTTTTAACAAAACTATAAAGACAAAATTTCAGGTCTGAGAAGAAATGTTGCCTTTTGGCTTTCTTTTAGGAAGTGTACTTTTCTGGGAATATGAAACTCCAAAATGACTTTTCAAATAATACATAATGACAATAATATAAAGAGGAACACTTTGCGTGAAGGGTTCAGCGACCTTTCATGCTTACTGCCTCAAGACATTCCCTACCGCAAATCCAAGTAAAATCCATAGAAATACAAGGTAGACTGACACTAACTTTCCGTTCTTGTAAGAATGCTGGCTGCAATTTACCAAAGGAACTTTCATTAATGTAAAAGAAACTAAGAACTAATAAATATTATATAGATGGACAAATCATGAAAGTCCAATATCTCAAAATAAGCATTACCCCTTGTTCTTGTGGAAGGTTTGGTTTAAATATGTGTGCATTGTATTTTGTCCATCAAGTTGATATTGTTATACTCTTTCCATTTTATACCGCTTGGTCATCTCCCACTCAACCAGTAGCTATCCTCTGAATTTATGAAATCTTCACTAGGTCTTCTAGTATCTACAACTTTCCAAAGAGGGCTAGCAAATGGGGAAAGTGGGAAAGAGAAGGAAAAAATAATATCATATAGATCATCAATAATAAATATCCTATTTATAATTGACCCAAAACAAATTAACAATAGTTTGGAGTAAAATAGTTATGCATTTCTTAGAATAGAATTTTAGAGGTAGAAATAATTTAGAAATAATCTAATCTAATCCCTTTCTTTTACAAGTGAGTAATCTCAAATCTGGAAAAGATAAATGACATGGCAAGGTCACACGGGTAATTCTAGATTGTTGCTGTTGAATTGTGACCAACTCTTCATGACCCCATTTGGGGTTTTCTTGGCAAAGATACTGGAGTAGTTTGCCATGTCTTTCTCCAGCTCATTTTGCAGATGAGGAAACCTAGGCAAACAGAGTTAAGTGACTTGCCCAGGGTCATACAGCAAGTGAGTGTCTGAGACCATATTTGAACTCAACTTCTTGACTCTGGGGCCAGTACTCTATCCACTGTGTTATAACTGCTGCATCTAGGTGGCTCAATGGAGAGAGCGCCAGGCCTGGAGTTAGGAAGATCTGAGTTTCAGTCTGACCTCAGATACTCACTAGCTGTGTGACCCTGGACAAGTTACTTAACTTCTGTTTGCCTTAATTTAGTGGAGAAGGAAATGACAAACCACTCTGCTATCTTTGCTGAGAAAATGTCATACAGGATCATGAAGAGTGGGATGTGACTGAATGCCTAAACAAGTGCCTGGAACATAGTAAGTGCTCAATAAATGTTTATTTCCTTCACCAGTGCCTTTTCCTTTAGTTTATGCTATCTTAAGTGATATGCAGTGTAAAACATTTCACATTCAAAAGTAGATATTGTCACATATATTCATGTAAGTAAAAATAGCACCGACAAGACATTTTGCTGACACGTATATACATGTGTGTAAGCACTTGTGCATGCAGATCTGTCTACACCATACATATAACTGACATTTATGTAGCATTTTAAGATTTACAAAGTGCTCTACAAAAATTGACCCTTTTTATCTTCCCCAAAGCCTTGTGAGTTAGATGCCATAATTATCTCCAGTTTACATATGAAGACAATGAGACATGGGTCACAGAGCTAGTAAATGTTTGAGGTGGGATTTAAATTCAGCTCTTCCTGATTCACATTCTCACTATTTCTATGACATTTTGAAGTCTTTCTGAGAAATGCTGCATTAAATTAACCATGTGAGGGCAGTCTCTTAGTTTGACAACATCAATATCTCCTAAGTTTGTATAAGGTTGCGAATTTACATTCCCACTTGGTTCTACCAGCATTACAAAGAAACTCTAAAGTCAAAGCTAATTTTGGAGAAAAAAAAAACTCTTAATTTTCAGATCTTCTATTTTGTAGAATAGTTGCTTTGGTAAGAATCATGAAAACAATTTATTTTGAGTGGAAACTGAACAGGGTAATATAAAAGAAGATATTCTTGTCCCTTCTATACCAACTTCAAGAAGAAAAAAAAAAACTACACTAAGGCAATGCTTCGTGCTAAATACCGTGTTGCCAAATGATAGATGTTGACAAGAAGGTACTGAGAATAGTGAGTTGTGGATAGCGGTTGTGAATAGAAATTAACAATGTTTCTATGTCCGGATGTTGACTAACATTTGTATGGAGGGGCCTGGTCATGATTCTGCTCCCTCCTCCCTCATTTATTGTTTATATGCCTAAGTATCACAGTTCATGAGATTCTAGATTGCTGGCTAGAATGACCTTAGAGGTCCTCTAGTACAGAGATATCAAACTCTTGTCCCTGGGGTGTGTGTGGTTTGCAAAACTCCCTCATACAGCCCAAAGAGATTAAAATATAACTGGGAAATAGTTAACAAAATAAAAATATGGTAAAACACAGATATTATTCTGTGGTTTTCTAAGTCAGTATGCAGGCTGCTGTGATCCATTTCTATTTGTTTGACACTACTGATACAGTTCAACCCCTTAATTTGACAGATAAGGAAACTGAGGCACAGAGAGGTTAGGTGAATTGCCCAAGGTCTTACAGCTAGTAAGTGAAAGAGGCAGGATTTGAACTCAGATTATCTAACTTCAAAATTCATGTTCTTTCCACTGCCCCATGCTACTCCTCATATTTCTTTAGCCCATTATAAGAAATTGTCATGTTATCCTAGGGCTTAGTACTGCAGATATATGATGTCAAATAAATATGTACATTGGACGAGATGCTTGCCACAGCTGAATGTCTGAAATGTTATGGTACATAGGTTTTTGGCTTAAAGTTTCAACTGAAACTCTACATACACTGTCTTGTATAAGTCTGTAAATAGTTCTTGAGTTCCAAATTCTTATTTCCAAGGCAAGCTATGTATAAAAATGATAATGTTGGTTGAATATAATCAGAGAAACTCATATCTTCATAACTTTGAAGTACTTTTGCACATATAAGTCAAATACATTAGAATGCACCATGGGGAGTGGGCAGGACAAAATGAAATATTTACATATTGCTGGAACCCACATGTATCATTGCATTTAATTAAAATAAAAATAGTAGATGAAAGTATTATTTAATGATTAGTAATTAGGGTCATTCCTTAATTCAAAGTTGTTGTTTTTTTTAACATTGTGTATGTGTGTGTGTGTGTGTGTGTGTGTGTGTGTGTGTGTGAGAGAGAGGAAGAGAGAGAGAGAGAGAGAGAGAGAGTGATGAACCCTTTTCGCAAACTGAGGAAACCTGTGGACCTCATCTCATAATACTATTTTTAAATAAGGGAATACTAAATTTCGGTATAGTGAAAAATCATTTCCCCCCCAAGTTCATGGAACTCCTGTAATCTATTTATGGACCTCTTTTAGGTTCATGTACTCCAAGTTAAGAACTGCTGTTCTAAATCATTTTCCTTATATCTTTTGTTGCTTTCCAAAGAATCGACGTGATTGTTTTAAGGGCCTAATTTGACTTGGGACTAATTTTGACTCAAGTTATGTATTGGGAGGTTGATAGGAATAGTTGTTAACTTCAAGGACCTAGCTATTACTTTAAAACTTACAATATGAGAGTAATCTAAAATATTTTTGTGCTTTTTACCATTTTTTTCTCAGTTATTTGCAATTTTGGTAAATTTAGACCATTTCTCTAACAAAAGTGTTCACATATGTTTATTTCATTAATGACTTTCTTGGAAGTTCTATGTTATTTTGAATGTTTTCCTTTGACTGTAACAACAGATAGGTTATTTTTTTTTAAACTCAATAACAGAACTCCCCTGATACACTTCACTGATACTTATAGAAGAATTTATTAAGCACCTTAGCAGGTACTATGCTAACTTACAGGGACGCAAAGACAAAACAAAATAGTCTCTGAGCTATTTTGACATTTACATGGAAAATTAAATATAAAAATATATACCAATTATTCCCGTGGGAAGGACACTAGCAACCAGCAATCGATAAGCATTTATTAAGTGCCTACTATGTGCCAGGAACTGTGCTAAGCATTGAGGATACAAAAAGAGGCATAATGCAGCCCTTGCCCTCAGGGAGGTTACATTCTAATGGGGAAGACATCAGGATAAATAGAGGAAATTAACAGAGGGAAGACACGTGGATTAAGAGGGTTTGGGGAAGGCTTCCTGTAGATGGTAGGATTTTAATTGAGTGACTTGTGGAAGGTCAGATGGTCTTCTAGTAGGAGTTAACACTTCTACTGAACTTTAATAAAAGCTAGCAAGTCTATGAGGTGGAGATGAGGAAAGATTGAATTCTGAATATTTGGGGGGGTGTCATAAAACATGAGTTGTGGGCAAGAGAAAGCAGGCCGATTTGGCTGTGACGTAGAACACATAAAGGAGAGTATATATGCAGTGTGACTGTAAAGGTAGGCCAGATGGTAAAGAGCTTTAAAAACCAATTGGATGAGTTGGTGTTTTATCCTTGAAGCAAGACAAAACTGTTGGAGTTTCCTGAACAGGGAAGTGACATAATCAGAGCTGTACTTTAGTAATGTCAATTTGGCAGCTTATTAATTGGCCTTGCTATTTCTAGTCTCTCCCTTCTCCAATCTCTCCTTCACACATACATATATATATATATATACATATATATATATAAATGGAGAGACTGAGAATAATGAACGAAGGCAAATAGTTTGAGAGAAACTGTAGAAAGCTGAAAAAAAGATGGAGAAACGTATATGTACGTGTGTAGGTGTGTAACACCTATACATGTATGTAACATATGCATATATGTGCATATATACACATGTGT